CTTAAAATAACTGCTTTTTTAGAAACAAACCACCTAAAATATACGTGATTGATGAATTGGCGGAACAACATGGGCACAAAGTTCTTCGTCTGCCTCCTTACCATTGTATATTTAACCCTATTGAGTTAATTTGGGGCATAGCAAAAGGTTACTATAACAGACATATTGGTAGAGATGGTAACAGTGAAAAAGACTGTTTAGATATGTGGAACGAGGCTCTACAAACGGTTACCCCAGACATGTGGAAAAATAGTGTTCGACATACTGAGCAAGAAATTTTTAAATGGTATGAAAGAGAACGAATTTTGATCGACCAGACATCGAACCTTTAATAATCAACTTTGAGAGTGATGAAGATTCAGATTCAGACAGCGCTGAAGAAAGAAACTCCGACTAACTTTATTGTACAGAAAAAGCTTACACCAGTAGCTTACCTAATTTTAGAATGCATTTTTCTGTATGAATTCTGTAAAATAAATACCATGCATAAATTTGGAGGACCCCATTTGGATTTTTATTCAGTACCTTTAAGCTATCAATTAAATATGGTAGTTTCATAGTGTCATCTGATCAATAATTGTCATACTTGCATGCATTATGCAAGTACAGATCTATAATTTTATTATACTATTATTTTTGTTCTCATTTGAGGTTAATATTGCTTATAAACCTAGATATGTAAATAATAAATTTTATTATTTTACAAAAAGTTTGGCAACAATGTAAATTTTTCAACACACCCACCTTGATGACGTGCACGCCACTTTGTTTGGCGTTGACTATAGTACTTCACAAGGTAATATTTCAAGTTGAACAGGGCGGACATATCGATGAGCATATAGAATTTTCAGACAAGCATAAGCTTTCTGGATACGTTTAATAATATGAGGCCTAAATCTTAGATTTGAGTCAAGTTCTGCTACTAAGTTTTTCACAGTAGCTGAACAAGGTATAGTTTCACGTCTTATGTTTCCGAAAATACAACTATAATCTCTCTATACCTTGTTTAATAATGACCAAGGAATCACGTTTCTCGTTAGGATTAAAAGAAAAATAAAGCTGAATATCGTCAGCAAACAAATGTACCCGACAATTTCGGAGACATTGGGAGAGATTCGAAGTATAAGTACTACAAATCAGAGGACCTAAACTGAAGCCTGATTAATAGATACACTCAAAAAAATGCAAAATTTTTCAAAAACGATTAGAATCCTCTAAAACGTCAAAAAATGAAGTATGTGCGATTTTCAGAAATTGCAACACTTTTTCGTCTTTTATTTATTCATCCCTTGACCGCCTGGTCTACCAGTGTATCCTTAGAACCTGCGGAAACGACGGTTAATTCCAGATAAACTTTGAATTTAAAAAAAATAATTGCCGTCTAGCGATGCAAGCCTTAGATAGCAAATACCGCATTGTTTCACTTTTTTATGGCCGTTCATCCTTTTGTGGCAGATGATATGGAGATTGCTCGTGAACATCCGTCTTGGACCTTGGAATATTAAATACTACAAAACGTACATAATTAGATATTATTAATTATGTAGCGCTACGAAGTATTTTTACATCCTGTAAAATAGCTCTTAAAATTATTTTCGCATTGAAAAAACACGCGTCGACAATTACTCAGGGGTACATCCGCGTCTTTTCTTCTCATGAAAACAATCGATGGTTTTCGCAGTTTTGCGTTTCATACTGATTCCTTGAAACACTAAATTTTTATTCTACTCATTGCTAAGGAATCCGTAATTAATGCGGATTTTCCGGACACTAAGAGTCAAACTATACGGGAGATTTTCCGTGACATATACTAAGTGACATATAAATCCGAACACCCAGTTTAAATGGTTTTATTTTAATAAAAGTTGGTGAATGTATTTATCTTACTGTAAATAACAAGTGAAAAAATTATCAGTTGGACATTCCGGTTTTTATACTGCTTTTTTTTTAATTCACTATCGCTCTAAAAATGAATATTTTAGCCGCAGTAAAGAATCAACGTTGGCGGATTTTGGTTCTTGACATCCTAATGGACCTGGTAGTGGAGAAACGGTCCCTTAAGGCCAATAATCTTAGGTGGCGATCTTCACGGTCTGTTGTTCTACGGCGGCGTCCAGTGCCCCTTGCTCTTTGCGTACGGCCTTCTCGAAGCCATGCCTGACAACACCTAACCACAGTGTCTACACTTCTTTGCACTCTAACTGCAATTGCCCGAAAGCTTCCCGAAGTCCCACTATACGGCCCCTATCAAACTCACTAAGTTGACGAAATCGTACAGGTACTCTAGGCATCGTAATCGATCGATTTTTTGCCAAACTTGTGTCCCCCTCGAAAACAAAATCGGCAGATCTGAGCGTTCTTAAAAAAAAACTGAGCTGCCAGTAAATGTGTTTCGTTTTCGATGCGCCACCCTGTATAAGTATTTTCTAATGTTTTTACACAAAAAAGCCACCCTTCAACGGGCTCTTTCTATATAAAATTTCATGTATAGTCAACGCCAAACAAAGTGGCGTGCACGTCATCAAGGTGGGTGTGTTGAAAAATTTACATTGTTGCCAAACTTTTTGTAAAATAATAAAATTTATTATTTACATATCTAGGTTTATAAGCAATATTAACCTCAAATGAGAACAAAAATAGTATAATAAAATTATAGATCTGTACTTGCATAATCATTAAGTATGACAATTATTGATCAGATGACACTATGAAACTACCATATTTAATTGATAGCTTAAAGGTACTGAATAAAAATCCAAATGGGGTCCTCCAAATTTTATGCATGGTATTTATTTTACAGAATTCATACAGAAAAATGCATTCTAAAATTAGGTAAGCTACTGGTGTAAGCTTTTTCTGTACAATAAAGTTAGTCGGAGTTTCTTTCTTCAGCGCTGTCTGAATCTGAATCTTCATCACTCTCAAAGTTGATTATTAAAGGTTCGATGTCTGGTCGATCAAAAATTCGTTCTCTTTCATACCATTTAAAAATTTCTTGCTCAGTATGTCGAACACTATTTTTCCACATGTCTGGGGTAACCGTTTGTAGAGCCTCGTTCCACATATCCAAACAGTCTTTTTCACTGTTACCATCTCTACCAATATGTCTGTTATAGTAACCTTTTGCTATGCCCCAAATTAACTCAATAGGGTTAAATATACAATGGTAAGGAGGCAGACGAAGAACTTTGTGCCCATGTTGTTACGCCAATTCATCAATCACGTATATTTTAGGTGGTTTGTTTCTAAAAAAGCAGTTATTTTAAGAATAGGAATAAACAAAAGAAATATAAACTGTCGACCAAAATATATATAATTAAGAAGCATTATGTACCGAGCAACAATACTCAATAGCTCTGTTTTAAACATTGTGTTTAAAAATGGTATGTTTTGATTTGTCAACCAGTCTTGGATATTTTTTTTTGTCCATGCATTGTTGGGCACTTTGTTCAATATCATGCTGTGATAAGGGGCGTTATCCAGTATAATCATAGATGGACTCTCCAATTTTTCTAATAACTGATGTTGAAACCATTTCAAAAAATTGTCCTGGTTCATCTCTCCATGGTAATCGCTCAATTTTGTTTTCGAAGAAAATATCGCTTCACTACCCTCAATAAACCCATTTTCATTTCCAGCATGTAATATAATGTATCTAAAATATATTAGTTTTAAATTTTATAGTGCAAATTGTGTAAAAGTACATAGCTTTTACCATCTGTTTTAATAGCTTTCACGCTTTTTTGGTTTCCATTTTGCCAAGAGCGACCTATGGTCCCATTTTGAAATATCCAAGTTTCATCGAGGAAGACAAACTGGTATAAGGCCTCAACCTTGGCTTGATTGTATTGCCTTAGAAATTCCACCCTTTTCAAAGCTATACTTGGTAGTTCCATGAGCCCTCGTCGCGGATTGTCCTTAAGCCACTTAAATCCAAGATCTCTAAGCAACCGCTTTAAAGACGTGGCACTACCATCAAATAATGCCCTATCTCTTAATCGAGACCATAAAGTTTGTATCGTAACTTGTTCTTCTGAAACCATGTGTAATATGACATTATAATTTAGTTAACAAATTAATGCAAATTTCTGATAAGTTATTATAATAAGATCTTACTTTTGTGATACATATTATAGATCACTTCTCGAATGGCACTTGTATCCAATGTCGCTGTGTTGGTTACACGTTTAATATAACTCCACTTTTTCTTGGGCGATTCTAAATTTGCATCACTTTTCACACCCTCGGAAATACGACTAACTGTCCTTAAACTAATTTTTAAAGCAGCAGCAACACGCTACAAAAAATGAAATAAAATTTCACTATTATTAATATACATTACATATAATTATTAGTAACCTACCTCTTGAACAGCATTTAAAGGCAACAAAGGCCCGTTGTTGTCCCTTTCTTGCTCAAAGTAGTGCATTAACGAGGCCACGAGTTCCTTACACCGACTATTTAACTGTTTGGGCATCTTTATATACCAAAATTGCCTTTATCTACTCGTAAAATGAATAATTTTGTTTTGAAACAAACAGTTGTTGATTTACAGTATGCGGGGCCAAAGGATTTATAGAGATTTGAAATGCCACAAATTGATTCAGTGTCAAAATTAATACAAATGTCAGTTCCCAGTTTAAATAAGTTTCAAGGTGACAATGTGTCAACGCTGCGAAATCGGTTTAGTGCGTTTACATGTCGATAAGTGATGGGAGCGTTTGCAAAACATTTTATTTCGCATAATGCGTCTAAATTTATCAGAAAGCAACTTATGTGATATTTTAATAACAATGTTTATATGACTATTAACCATAATAAGAGAGTAATGACCATTTTACAATTTATATATCACATTAATATGAAACTGCAATAGAGCAATTGTTTGTGATAGAAACCTAGGCATTAGGTCGGGGAATTTTTATCGTGATGACGTGCACGCCACTTTGTTTGGCGTTGACTATATATTGGTTGTGTATTTTAGAGACAATATTACTACTATATTACTATTAAACTTTTATATTTCAATAAATAAAACAGGTCATAATCAAATCAACTTTTATTCGTTACACTTTAAATTGTTGAATAATACGCAGCCGTTTTCAACGGCAGCCACCAGCATAAACATACAAACCACTTGACACACACATAGACAAAGAGATACTTGACTTTCATTCTAACAGGGACAGGGACAACATTGCGGTGGACAACATTGGATCCCTCCAGTGGGGGGTGCGCACGCCAATGGAGGGGGTCCAATGATGGGGCATGGAACGGCGGGAGCCACCGGCACCACTCTACCAATCGGAACGCACGGCGGGGGTCCCGGGATAATAGGCGGCGGGCAAGGGGCCTGAGCGATCAGGGGCACGCAGGGCGGCGGGCAACAGGGGGGCATACAAGGCCCACAGGGTCCGCACGGGGGGCAAGGACCGCAGCCAGGGGGTGGACAGCATGTCGGCGAGTAGCCTAGAATGAAAAAAAAAAACAACGATATAAGACAAATGAGTTATAGCAGTGTTTGCTAAACTGGAGGATATGTGGAAACATAACTACATACATACATGAAACTTCAACAGCCAAGTTGTGCAGATATGGAGTTGGGGGATTGCCATTACCACTTTTACAATCGAAAACGTACAGATACACATCCTCATAAAATAGCATGCTTGAAAATGCTCTTCTAGATCTTGCTCAAAGCAAAGACTCCACACACATAGTCTAATCATTGAACTAAATATAGGTAACCTTTTCCTGGGTGGTAACACAGTTTAACAAAATGCTAGTTGGGTTTCTTTTCGGTACAAGGATATATACTAAGTGACATATAAATCCGAACACCCAGTTTAAATGGTTTTATTTTAATAAAATTTTGTATAAGTACTTAATGAAGCATAGTAAGTAAATGATAAAAATTTCAAATGATTGCACTGCTTTGAAGCCCTTTGACCTTTAATAATGTGTGGATGCACCCTGATGTGCTACGCATTCTCCAACGCGCCTAGGCATGCTTCTGATCAGGTGGTCAATGTCCTCCTGTGGTATCTCATTCCAGGCAACCACCAACTCCTCTCGAAGTGCTTCTAGAGTCTGAGGAGGACGTTGCAAATTGAGCAATCTCCTACCCATCATATCCCACACGTGCTCAATTGGGGATAAGTCGGGAGATCTTGGTGGCCATGGTAACAATGTAACTTCATTATGTTCAAAGAAGTCTATTGTGACTCTTGCAACATGTGGTCGGGCATTATCTTGTTGGAAAGTTGGTTCTGCCAGGGTGTCAAGATAGGGTAAAAGATAGGGTTATAGAACTTCGTGGATATAACGCTGCGCGTTCATGTTACCTCTGATGAAGATTAAAGGTGACCTGGAACCATAAGCTATAGCACCCCAAACCATAACTCCAACAGTGTGATGAACATGTCTTTCAACAAAAAACTGTGGATTCCTCCTTTCACCACGTCGCCTTCTAACCCTGGCACGACCATCGTGCATGCCTAAGCAAAATCGAGACTTGTCACTAAAGACAATACTGTTCCATTCCTGATCCCAGAGTGACCGTTGTCTGCACCACTCAAGGCGATTACGTCGGTGTTCTCGAGTTAAAGGGAGGACCCAGTGTGGCCGGTATGAAAACAAGCCAAAACTTCTCATTCGTCGGTAAACACTTCGCATGCCAATAGGTCTTCCGTGTTCTGCAAACCATTCATTTGCAATGGACCTGGTAGTGGAGAAACCGTCTCTTAAGGCCAATAATCTTAGGCGACGATCTTCACGGTCTGTTGTTCTACGGCGGCGTCCAGTGCCCCTTGCTCTTTGCGTACGGCATTCTCGAAGCCATGCCTGACAACACCTAACCACAGTGTCTACACTTCTTTGCACTCTAACTGCAATTGCCCGAGAAGAAAGTCCAGCTTCCCGAAGTCCCACTATACGGCCCCTATCAAACTCACTAAGTTGACGAAATCGTACAGGTCTCCGTACTCTAGGCATCGTAACCGATCGTAAAGGATGTCAAGAACCAAAATCCGACAACGTTGATTCTTTACTGCGGCTGAAATATTCATTTTTAGAGCGTTCGTGAATTAAAAAAAAGCAGTATAAAAACCGGAATGTCCAACTGATAAGGCTGAAAATTTTTTCACTTGTTATATACAGTAAGATAAATACATTCATCAACTTTTATTAAAATAAAACCATTTAAACTGGGTGTTCGGATTTATATGTCACTTAGTATAGTAAGGTACGTTGTAATGGTCTAAGAAGCTTGTTTGTGATAAAAGCTATAAAATTTCATGCACGTGCCTATCTTTCCACATCTCACCTCCTTAACAACAGACCACATAACACTGACCTCCACCGCCGTTAGAGTTTCCACCGTTTCCATTGGTTCCGCAGGGCGCGCACGGTAGGTAGCTTGATGTATGCCGGGTAGCACTGGTACGACTCGAGATCCTTGGAGCCGTAGCCCAGTCTGTTGCCGAGGTGTTTGCAACCTGCGAATTCGCTGGGGCCGCACACCGGCGGGTTGCTAAGGCATTCCGGGGAGCCGTGGCACTCGGAACGTAGGCAGTCGTCTTGCAGACCGTTGTGCTTCTCGCAATCGCACCTAGAAGAAGATTGATTAAGGATCTTACTCGACAATATGTTTGGACGTTACAATAATTAAAAACCATTGCTACAGCTACTAGAAGCAGTGGCCTTGAGGACTAGCCTACACCGAAAGACGGTAGAGAATAGCATCAAGACATACATTCCTCCCAGCAGTATGTACTGATGATAAATATCCCCAGCAATACTGTGAGCAGCCATCGTCATGCCCTGGCAGTACCACCAACCTGTGGCGGTATAGCTTGTTAGCCGAAGGATATTACGGTATCGCAACACCTCTCTCCGCGACACCGCACATGCTCGTCGATACCAGGAAATTATTCTGACTCGTCATCAAAAAGCACTTGTGGGATAGTATGGGTTGGCAGCTGAAAAATACTGAGGTATGGTGACGCATCTCACTCCAGAATCCCAGAGCGTGCTCTTTGATACCCGAGGCAGTATCTGAAAGCATCCTGTGCTATTGCACAGGTCTATTGACCAATTGTCGTCTAGGCTTGGCACCGCCTTTTGATGCCATATCCCACAGCATGGTCGTCAAAAGCAGAAACATTTTCTATTCCGGCATTGTAGATCATCCTGACAGCCGAGAGACGCCTCGGTATAGCGGCGACTCTGACCACTGTTTCTTTTCTTTCTCGGTATCGGAAAACATCTTGGGCGAAAAATATAACTTGACATCAGATAGATAATGCGGTATGACCACGCCACTCATCGCGATATCCCACAGAATCCTGTTCGATATCAGGCATTTTTTTTCTCTCAGTATCGCAAAGCACCTTGCTCGACAATATCGCTAGAGAATCGAAAGATGCTGTGGTATGGCGTCTCTCACCGCGGTTTTCCACAGCATGCTCGTCAATACCCAAGACATTTTATAATCCGGCATCGGAGATCATAATGAACACCAAGAGATGCCGCGGTATAGCGCCGCCTCTCAACGCGGTATCCCACAGCATTCTTCCGGAAACTCGCCGAATTTTTCTCTCTCTCTCGGCATCGGAGAGCATCCTGATCGAAAAATATAACTCGATAACAGAAAAATACAGCGGTATGGCCACAGAATAATCTTCGATATCAGAATTTTTTTCTCTCGGCATCGGAAAGCTCCCTGCGTGAGAATATCGCTAGAGAATAGCAAGATGCCCTGGTATGGCGTCTCTTACCGCGGTATCCCACAACATACCCGTCAAACCAGAAACATTTTCTATTCCGGCACCGTAGATCATCCTGGCAGCCAAGATATACCGCGGTATAGCGACGTCTCACCACGGCATCCACAGCATTCTCCCGGATGCCCGGAGAATTTTGCTTTCTCGGCATCGGAGACCATCCTAATCGAAAAATATAACTTGACAGCAGAAAGATACTACGGTATGGTCACGCCTCTTATCGCGATACTCTATAGCATCCTCTGCGATATCAGAAATTGTTTTTCTCTCAGCATCGGAAAGCACTATGCGCGACAATATTGCTAGAGAATCTAAATATGTCGTGGTATGGCGTCTAACACCGCGGTATGCCACAGCATGCTCGTCAAAACCAGAAAAATTTTCTATTCCGGCATCGTAGATCATCCTGGCAGCCAAGATATACCGCGGTATAGCGACGTCTCACCACGGCATCCCACAGCATTCTCCGGATGCCCGGAGGATTTTCCTTTCTCGGCATCGGAGAGAGCAGAAAGATACTACGGTATGGTCACGCCTCTTATCGCGATACCCTATAGAATCCTCTTCGATATCAAAAATTGTTTTTCTCTCAGCATCGGAAAGCACCTTGCGCGACAATATTGCTAGAGAATCTAAATATGTCGTGGTATGGCGTTTATCACCGCGGTATCCCACAGCATGCTCGTCAAAACCAGAAAAATTTTCTATTCCGGCATCGTAGATCATCCTGGCATACCGCGGTATAGCGACGTCTCACCACGGCATCCCACAGCATTCTCCCGGATGCCCGGAGAATTTTCCTTTCTCGGCATCGGAGAGCATCCTAATCGAAAAATGTAACTTGACTGCAGAAGATACAGCGGTATGGCCACGCCTCTCATCGTGATACCCCACAGAATCTTCTCCGATATCAAGTATTTTCTCTCGGCATAGGAAAGCACCTTGAGCTGCTATATCGCTAGAGAATCAAAAGATGCGTTCCTGACCGCGGTATTCCACAGCATGCTCGTCAATACCCAAGACATTTAATAATCCGGCATCGGAGATCATAATGAACACCAAGAGATGCCACGGTATAGCGCCGCCTCTCAACGCGGTATCCCACAGCATTCTTCCGGAAACTCGACGAATTTTTCTCTCTCTCTCGGCATCGGAGAGCATCCTGATCGAAAAATATAACTCGATAACAGAAAAATACAGCGGTATGGCCACAGAATAATCTTTGATATCAGAATTTTTTTCTCTCGGCACCCTGCGTGAGTATATCGCTAGAGAATAGCAAGATGCCCTGGTATGGCGTCTCTTAGCGCGGTATCCCACAACATACCCGTCAAAACCAGAAAAATGTTCTTTTTCGGCATCGTAGATCATCCTGGCAGCCAAGATATACCGCGGTATAGCGACGTCTCACCACGGCATCCCACAGCATTCTCCCGGATGCCCGGAGGATTTTCCTTTCTCGGCATCGGAGAGCATCCTAATCGAAAAATATAACTTGACAGCAGAAAGATACTACGGTATGGTCACGCCTCTTATCGCTATACCCTATAGAATCCTCTTCGCTATCAGAAATTGTTTTTCTCTCAGCATCGGAAAGCACTATGCGCGACAATATTGCCACAGAATCTAAATATGTCGTGGTATGGCGTCTATCACAGCATGCTCGTCAAAACCAGAAAAATTTTCTATTCCGGCATCGTAGATCATCCTGGCATACCGCGGTATAGCGAAGTCTCACCACGGCATCCCACAGCATTCTCCCGGATGCCCGGAGAATTTTCCTTTCTCGGCATCGGAGAGCATCCTAATCGAAAAATATAACTTGACAGCAGAAAGATACAGCGGTATGGCCACGCCTCTCATCGCGATACCCCACAGAATCCTCTCCGATATCAAAGTATGTTCTCTCGGCATAGGAAAGCACCTTGAGCTGCTATATCGCTAGAGAATCAAAAGATGCCATAGTATGGCGTCCTGACCGCGGTAACCCACAGCATGCTTCTCGATTCCCAAAAAAATAATTTATCTGTCTCGGTATCGGAAAGCGTTCTTTGAAATAATATAGCCTGACAGCCAAGAAATACTAAGCAACACGCTTTGCCACGGTATCCTACAAGCAGCTCGCCGATTCCCGGAAAAGTTTCTCGGCATAGGAAAGCATCCTCTGCGATAGTATAGCCTGCAGCCAAAGGATTCCGCGGTGTGGTGACATCGTCACATTAGTATCCTAGAGCATATTTCTCCATACTCAAAGAATGTTTCTTTCTTGGCATAAAAGAGCATCTTGCGAGACCCTAGTGCCTGACAGCCTAGAGATGCCGCGGTATGGCGACATATCTTATGGTGGCACTACACCATGTTCCTCGGCATTCTGCGCGCTACCGAAGCTTCATACGCTGCCATACCGCGGTATCTCTGGTCTCTCTGGTTCTACGTCACGCACGATGTTCTCGATGCTGAGGGAAAAACTCTTAGGCCATCGAGGGATACGCTAGGGAATTCGCGACGAGAGACGTTGGTGTGACGAGAGATTTATCAACTGCAGGACTACAAGTGTAGTAGACTATGTACCTCAAAGCGTGCTTTTGGATACCTACAAAAAAGATTTTCTTTCTATCGGTATGGGAAAGCATTTTGCTTGGTGCGAGGTCGGAGAGTATCATGTACTCTGCAGTTATCTTCGTGGGGTGCTGACCACGCTTTCGGTATCGCGGGGGATTTTTCTCACGTACCACTGGGATGGATTTCCTTATAGAAGCTTTTTCATGTCGTCACATAGGATGCTTTAATGAATATTTGTTGGACTTGGACCTTAAACGGTGGGGTTGTGTTTTATAGAGGTTTTATTTACGAACGCCAACTAAGAAAAGTATTATTTAGAAATCTCCCGGGCTTTTTAGTATGGATCTGTGAAAATGAAAGTCTTACCCAACATGTAGGACGCTAGCTCTTAGCTCCCTGCTCTTGGACCTGCCGTGGTTGGCGTTTTTCGGCCTCCGGTAACAAACCATCATCGCAGGAGGGTTGCAAGGTACGCACGGTTGCTCCTCGGGGTTTGGATTGCAAATCGGCACGCACGGCGGGGGTACTGGGGTACAAATGGGGAGAATGGGAGGCACGCATATCGGCTGCTCCTGCTTCTGGCTCATCACCTGTAAGAATAATCAATCGAAAATAGAGTCAAGAAGGTTGGAAAGCTCAGGGCAGTGCTACTGGGTTGTACATTTGTCATCAAACAGTGGTGTCAAGTAAGCTGACTTTGTACTCTTCACGGAATTATGGACCAATGAGTATAATATCTGAGCCAACGTATAACATCTAAAAAAGAATATGCTATATTGGGTTTTTTCTCCATTACAATTCTTCCTCACCAGTGGCGTGGAAGAACAAGGGAGTCAAGTAGATTGAAAACTGGCACAAGCATGAGGTACAATGCGGTTTGAATGAGTTAGACAAAGGAGAAAACAGATTGAGTTTCAATGCTACGTGTCATATTTTGCCGTTTATTTTAAAAACAGAGGTAACGATGTATGCATATGGTATTGCTGACAGACCTAATACAATTAATGACTTATCTTTCCTCATAGCGAGTTGATGGTGAGAAATAACAGTATAGGTACTTACCGGTACAGTCGCGCTTTTCGGTGGGCACGTGCCAGGTGTGCATTGCGGTATGCAAGGAGGGCAGCAGGGAGAATAACACGGGGGGCAACAAGCGCCTGGATTGGGCGGACATGCCGGGGGCGGACACAGGCTTGACGGCGGCATACAGCATGATGGTGGGCAGCAGTCACCAATCTGACAGAAAAATAAAAAGTTGAATATATCAGGAAGAAATGCTCCTTCACGATCATCAGTATTTAATCAGACTGCCGGATTTAAAGGCGATCAGAGGATACTCGAAAACGGTAATTTTTTAGTTCTATATAGTTTTAGATAAGCATGTGACTATTATGAAATTTCTTGCGCTGTGAGCAACTACTATTTATTCGTATAAATGGTATCTCTGGCATTTCAGAACACTGCAAAATTTAAATATTTTATATATATATATACAGAGTGACTTCGAAGTTGAGTCATTTATTTTAACAGTGAGTAGATCTGATCAAAGAAATGTTTTTTTCCTTTACCATTTTTCTGGTAAAATTAAAGTAACAAAGTTATAGCCCTTTGGAAGTTTGAGTACCGCCCTGTCTCAATAATATGTGCTCGTGTTTGGCAACAACGGATATAATCCGCCTTATCGGTTCATCGCATCGGAAACAAAAAGCGAAAGAATTTGGAACGATGTTTTTACAATCATTTTATTCAGTTGTATACAGTCAGTGTCAGTCGGTAACGCGTGAGTGAATAGTGGTGTCTGTTGCGTGGCTCAAACGAAATAAAAAATGGCACATGTTTATGCGGATCGGTTTCCCAATCGAGTGCAACCAACCCCTCGTGCCGTTGTTAATGTAGTACAACGGGCTCGTGAATCAGGTGACTTAAGACCTCACAGGGGACGGCATGCCGGTGCTCCAAGACCTCACGATCAAATACAGGTCCGCACTGAAATACTTGTCGGGCGGATACTTTATAAAACATGGTAAACATTTTTTTTATTTTTTTTTATTTTTATACACATATTTTGGTTTATCTTGCTTCTACAATCATTATCTGAAAATTAATGACTCAACTTCAAAGTCACCCTGTATATATATATATATATATATATATAGCAGATAAACAGCTTTAGAACTGTTAAATAGTGATAAAAAATATGAATTGGTTAAATGTTAATAAATTTAAACACTAATAAAAGAAAATGTATGTCAATAGGGAAACATTTAGATGACAATAGAATTAGGCTCATGATTAGTTATGGAAAATTGAAGTAGTCGAATCATTTAGATATCTGGGTATATATGTGGATAGTAAACCACTGTTTCTCGAGCATTATGAATACATTATTTCAAAAATATCAAAAAAGATAAATTACTTCTTCAGAGTTCCCCATAATCGTAGTATGTATTCAAAAAAAAACATGTGTATAATACTATACGTAGTTTTTCCCCATTTCTTATTTTGTTCAAACACCTTGCTTACAGCAAATAAAAACATATTTTCAAAATTACAAATTCTACAAAATAAAGCTACGAGTATGATTTTGAATAAAAACAAATACCATATGCTAGAATTAAGTCTATGTTAGAAGAACGACAGTAGTAAGCTAAGTGTACATAAAAAAATATAGTTCATTACAGTTGACGGTATTAAGGATATTAAGAAAATGTCTTTTTATATTTAAATTTTTTCGAAAATGATCACTGGCCTGTTAATAGTCAGAAACAAGGTTTGAGTGATTTTTTTTCGTTTTTTGGTTTGGGCCGATTCAAAAGCTACAAAGCTTTTCCGGGGAGGACCCGTGTTTTACCAAACTTTTATCACTGCGAGCAAAATTGAAAAAGTTGCTGAAACATACTTTGTAGTGTATGGAAAAGCTGTCGAGGTACACTTTTTCTTATTAATTCTGGAAATTGCATATGCAAATTAGCTGAATTTCAAAAATGTGAGAGATGAGAAAAGAAAATCCCTGGTTGGTGAAGGAACACGTGAGGAAATATGCTTCAGACAGGAATGTTTATTAAAGTGAAAATGTTATTACATTACTTTTTATTTCCTGTCATTTAAATTTTATAGAAATTTATTTTGCGATGTCAATAGAAAATACAAGTCAGCATGTGTGGTATTGCGAAAACGTTTGATGTGTTCATTACGAATTTTTCTGTGATGTGGCTGAGTTGCACACAGCGCAGGCACGACGGCGATTTCTCGTAGTGCTCCTCAAAGTTTTTGAAAACATAAAATACGGGAAAAATCATAATTTATAACTTTGAACATAACCTGTCTTCAGAAAGGACAACATATAAGTAACTCGTCGGGCACAGCTAATAGATATACTTCATTGGCAGCATATTCAGTAATAATTTTCTCACACAGCAAATATCATTGATTTTATAGACAATACACATAGTCGTCCTATTCAACCAACTTTCTTCTCAGAGATAAAAAGTACAGACTAATCGGCTTCACAAAACATATGCAACCAACAATGCGTGTAGTTAAGTCATTCCTCCATAGACGGACGATCCTAGTGAGCAAACGTGCACTGTTTGCACTCTAACTACCTAGTCTTCAAAATCACATTTTATAGTTTTTTTTACGTTTTATAGGTTTCTTACAGGGTAACGTAAAGCCGGATTTTCTTTTAGAGAAATCGCTAATCGGGTGTATCAAAAAGAAGCTACTGGTCTTCATCCATGATGAAAAAGTATTTTAATAACAATTCAGTATATTCAAGAATATATCGCGAATGGGGCGGCTAAAAGATACATTTCGGGAGTATCATTAATTAAAATTAAATTTTTTTTTCGGAAAATGCTGATTCTTTCATCTCGATAAATACTCGGAATTTCGAAGCTTTTCAAGTACCATGTTATACAAAAAAACTTTTATTAGGCAGAAGTTAGAAAAACTCCAAATTGTAAGACTGATCAACAGCCAAAAAATATCCTAAATAAAATCAACAAAATATTACTATTTTTAATGTGCTAAAACCGGAATGAAACTTATTTTTTTCAATATTAGTTCAAGTTTTAGATATACGGTAATTATATGTGTTCCTGTTGTGACAGTGTTAATATACTGTAATTCACAAGAATGCACGTGCTACATTTTTATATTCGGCAAGGAAAGATGATGTAATCGGCATGATTGTGCATTACATACGTGTACATTATATTGTTTTGTATTAGCCATTTTTTCCTCAGTTGGCTGACAGCGTTCATGCAAGATGTCTCGAAAGTGTGTAAACAATCCAGATCAGTTTTGTTACGTGTGTGGTGTTGTGACTTTTGCGTCTCAGAGACGGTCTATTACTCCACTAATAACAAAGGCATATCAGCTTTATTTCGGTTGTAAACTAGGTGATCAAGACAAACAGTGGGCATCCCACATCTGCTGTAATACATGTGCTTCAAGTCTGAGGAGCTGGTTAAATGGCAAAAAACGGTCTATGCGCTTTGCTGTTCCAATGGTTTGGAGAGAGCCTACAAATCATATTAATGATTGTTACTTTTGCATGGTACCTTGTGTTGGACAAGCCACAGGTATGTCCAAGAAAAAAAAATCGGTTATTAACTACCCAAACATACCATCTGCGATGAGACATGTGCCTCACAGTGACGAAAATCCTATTCCAAAACCCCCAGAATCCTACACTTGCGAATCAGAAAACGAATCAGATCATGGCGATCGAGTGATTCGTCAGGAAGAAGATATGCCATCAACGTCAAGAGATCCTGATTTTATACCGAGCACGTCATGCCACCAACAGCACAAAATAACACAGTCAGAATTAAATGATCTTGTAAGAGATTTAGAACTGCCAAAATGTAAGGCAGAGTTACTTGGATCAAGACTGCAGCAGTGGAACTTGTTAGAAGACAATGTTTCGGTATGTGTTTTTCGTAAACGCCACAAAGACTTAGAACCATTTTTCAATATGGAGAATAACTTGGTTTTCTGCAATAACATTAACGGCTTACTGGCGGCTTTAAATATAAACTATAACCCAGAAGAATGGATATTGTTTATAGACAGTTCAACATTTAGTTTAAAGGCAGTGTTATTGCATACTGGAAATATTTTACCATCTCTTCCTGTAGGGTATGCAGTTCACATGAAAGAATCATATGACAATATGAAGTACCTATTGACATGCATAAAATACGATGAGAACCAATGGCATATTTGTGGCGATTTGAAAGTTGTTGCACTTTTACTTGGGCTGCAGCTAGGCTACACGAAGTTTTGCTGTTTTTTGTGTGAATGGGACAGTCGGGCAAAGGAACTTCATTACACCAGACAAAACTGGCCTGTTCGTCAATTCCTAGAGCCAGGTCAAAAAAATGTACAGCATATGCCATTAGTAGATTCGAAAAAAATTTTATTACTACTAAGTTGGGCCTAATGAAAAACTTTGTCAAGGCATTAGATAGAGATGGGTCAGCTTTTTAACACCTGCGTCAGAAATTTCCAAGACTAAGTGAGGCAAAGGTTAAAGAAGGTATTTTTGTTGGGCCGCAGATTCGAAATATTTTGAAAGATACACAGTTTGAACACTTTAACAGGTATTGAAAAAACTGCTTGGAATGATTTCCGTCTGGTGGTCACTAATTTCTTGGGAAATAGAAAAGCTGACAACTCTAAAACCCTTGTCAAAAATATGCTGTCATCGTATTAAAAGGTGGGCTGTAATATGTCGCTTAAGATACATTTCCTACACTCACACCTGGACTTTTTTCCTGACAATTGCGGAGCCGTAAGTGATGAGCACGGCGAACGTTTTCATCAGGATATTTCAACAATGGAAAAAAGGTACCAGGGAAAGTGGAATCCTTCCATGCTTGCAGACTACTGTTGGACTCTTGGTAGAGATGCTCCAGAAACGATCCATAAAAGAACAGCAAAAAGAGAGCACATATAGTGATTCTTATAAGTATATGAATCCTGTTACTTTTTTTAATATATCCTTAAACATAAGAAGTTTTTTTTCTAAACCGCAACTAATTTTTTTATTTCATTGTCATTTTTGGATTCAGCGCCCCAAAATTAACAAAGAAGTACACTTTTCCCACAAGATACAATTAAAAAACTAAAATTTGTTGTCCAGTGTTATCCACATCTCAATCATTGCTTAAGCCCTACAGTTTTTACTTTTTCTCTTAGTAATAAAAATACGATTAAACCCAGGTCGAGCTCCTTACTTGGAAGCTCGTTTATTGAATTTTGAGACTTACCTGATTGACGAGATCCTTGAGGTTACTCAACAGAGATTTCCTCTGCTGTTGTTTCTCAGGACACACAAAAACCATGTTGAAATGGAATTTTTGAGACGATACGACGAATTTAGATGCGATTTACTTGAATTTTGATGAATATACTCGGACCTTATGACATTACACTACGGACAATTTGACGCATAATAAACAAATAAGTGAATTTTGGTAACTAGTGGTTTTTCATCATACGTTTACAAGGTGTTCTTAACTAAGCTTCAAATTTGAATTTCAGTTTTTTCTGTAGGTAAATATTAGAGATTACAACAATAATAATAACAATAATAGTAATAATAATAATTGTCATAAGGTTTACAGTGGTAAACATAGACGTCAGCATGAGAACAAATAAGCACTTTGATGGCAGAATTTCACATTTAAAAGTATCATAGCCAAAAAACTGTGGACAATTAAAATATCCATTCAGTGAATAAAAAGCCTTTTATATTCAATAAGCTATCAATGTATCTTTGAAGCCATATGTATCGGTGCAGTCTTTTGTAAACGGTTTTCCATTGAGGACTTGTCATTTTAAACAAAACGCAAACCATTTGAGATATCTCGAAAATTTTATTATTGTATTGGAGTATACTCAAAACGTTTATGTATGGAATTTCACAGAAACGGCCGGTATCTCTCATTCAATATTGGCTCTTAGCTCCTCTAACGACGCCGGCTTGTTGGCAAAGTCTAAAAGGCCCAATTTCACCAACATTAATATTATGGGCCAATGGAAAAATACCTTATCGAAATACAATTTGACAGAAGCTGTCAAAGGTTTCTGAATATTAGTGATTTCTATTGAACTATTGAATAAAATCGTGAAAATTCGACTGTATTATAAACAAGACCACTTTTTGATTCCAACATGATGCTTTTGTACAGAAAAAACAGAACAACTTTCATGTATTTTGATATATGTTATAGGTTTACATTTAACAATCCGTTATCCCACTCAGCGAATGGGAATGCCGCAAATAGTAGGCCGATTTTCTAGCTGTTAAATTTGGCAGCAGATTTGGACGTTTGTTAATGCATGGCACTCTCGAATTTACCAACTTCAATATACTGAAAGTTATCATTACATACCTGTTGAATAGTGTGGATTTGTCTGTATTTTGCAAGAAAATAGAATATAAAATACATTCCATCCAATACCTCATCTTCCTTTACGTCATAATAGTAATCATTTATTAATTTATGGGTTAATGAATTTCTTCAAAGCAATAAAAACATTATGTCCTCTCCATCCTAAAACACCGATAATATGTGTAAGACGTGTCAAACCCTGATGCATAATGCAATTACTATGGACATAGACAAAAAATTATGAAAAATGTTTCACAAATAATGTCTTTTAAGTCCAAAAATCATAAAAACTAGTAATGTTTATTGTTTGTCTTTTTTTGACTGGCGGGAACACCTATCTGTCACTCGCAGGGTTGCCAAGTCTAACGACGTTCACGTCCCGTGGTGGAGGGTGCGAAATTAATCTTTTACATTTGCTGGTTTTTATTTTTTTCCGTGAAAATTTACTAGGTATCATGATTATAAGCATCTTTGATAGATTGCTCGATCCGGAATGGGAAAGATCTCCTTTTTATGAGAATATTTTTGGTGTTATCTAACCGTTGCAATCAGTGCACAAACACTGTGACATATGATTTATAGCATAACCCGCTGCCCTACAGGCCGCCTAGCCGTGGGGATGCAGTGGTCGGGATGAATATCACGGCAGCAACTGATGACTTGGGCATGTCTGGTAACAACGTATGAAGTGAAACTCGCTAGCTTCACAAATTTGAAGATTTTGTACAATTTCGTTGAAAATAATGAAAGATATGTCTGATTTGGCAGGGTAATGTCGCAGCCAAATGGCTGTCACTCTTTCTGACACAGTCCGGATCGAAAGATGACGATACTCGTGAAATGTATGGATACTTCTAAATATAGGATTGTATCGAACATCCCTACTGTCAAGATGTATAACCCAAGGTACCGACGGAGCTATTTTGCGGCGTCATGGAAATAATTTTAAATTTTCATTTGCATGTTTTCAAGTGTTGTGCAATGATTTTGGGAAAAATGTCACGAATAGTCTTATAAAGCATAGTAGGGTATATTTCAACAGTTGGCGGAACTTACTCCACTGGGACCAGGATTGTGAAACGGGATATTAATGCACAATCTGGCAACTCTGTCGCACCCTCACAAAATGGCTGCTGACAATCACACAAGTCACCGTGTTGTCATTGAATAACATGGAATTAAACCTTCAGAGTATATGTTTTGTGACTGGTACCAAGAGTTGACAGATCCCACACATGTGTCACTCCTTGAAATGCAATAATCAGCTGTATTCAAATAATGTCTAATATAAATATAACCTAGAATGTGTACTCGTGAAAAAAGAAAAATATGGCAAATTTGTAGTTTTTTTTGCAGGTTTTAGGTTTGCTGGTAGCTTTAAGGCATATATTTGGGAATTTCTTAATCGCTGTGAATATAGTGTGGATGTTTGTTCCTGAACAACGAAACATATTCAACTTTATGGATGTACGGATATCAAAAAACCTGAATGGTTTTGTGAAATAACAATCTAAGGTGCCATAATGGTTCTGATGAACGGCAAGTAAATGAATGAATGTTTGGAAACGAGCAATATCTTTTGGTAGAGCCTGTCATGAAGTAGGTGCTTAATGGCTATCTGCAAGAGGTTTATGGGAAAAAAACACCCAGTATCGCATATCAATTGAAAATAATGATATAAACATGAATAAAAAATCAACAATAGCAACTAAAACATGAATTATATTCGAAAATCCAACATTTCTTTAAATTTTGACTGAATTATATGTAATTTCTTAATATTCAATAAGCTGGTGATGTTTCAATGACAAGCTGTCATCTCATACTTTGACAGTATTTTGTTCTCAACATTTCATAGCTATTGGTTGCTAAAATTTGTTGATTGGAGAATAACGGACTGTCGTTGGTGAAATTGGCCCTAAAGGTGTTAAATCACACGATCTGGGACCATTTCTCGATACAACATGTTCACCGAATTTTGATTTCAATATGTCGATTGGTTCACCCGCTGTGTGGCTTGTGGCGCCGTCTTGTTGAAACCACATATCACTAATATCTATCGCATCCAATTGACTAAAAAAATAACGTTGCAACGTGACCGTCATCTGGACATTTTAGTTAGTCATTTCCAAGCATTTCTGGAAAGTTGAATGAGGTATCTCTTCCTTCCGGTTTAATCGGAAGTGACATTGACTTTCGTTTTTCAAGCGGAACCGTTATATTTCCTTCCGTAATCGTACTCTATGCCAAATTCCCTTTCCAACGATGTGTCACAAGTGACATTTTCGATATAGATCTCTTCTACCGCTATGCCAACGGGCTTTGCTCTTCAGAGCTCTCCTCCATGATGCCGCCGCGCGTTGTGTCTGTCATACAAACTTGCCTGACTCCAATTCTGACTCTGTCGAAATTTTTGCATCCAAAACTGGCCGACACTACCGCTCCTTTGGCACGCGTTGTTCGCTGCATACTTGATTAACTCTCTAGATACATATACTAAGTGACATATAAATCCGAACACCCAGTTTAATTGGTTTTATTTTAATAAAAGTTGGTGAATGTATTCATCTTACTGTAAATAACAAGTGAAAAAATTGTCAGCCTTATCAGTTGGACATTCCGGTTTTTATACTGCTTTTTTTTCAATTCACTAACGCTCTAAAAATGAATATTTCAGCCGCAGTAAAGAATCAACGTTGGCGGATTTTGGTTCTTGACATCCTTTACGATCGGTTACGATGCCTAGAGTACGGAGACCTGTACGATTTCGTCAACTTAGTGAGTTTGATAGGGGCCGTATAGTGGGACTTCGGGAAGCTGGACTTTCTTTTCGGGCAATTGCAGTTAGAGTGCAAAGAAGTGTAGACACTGTGGTTAGGTGTTGTCAGGCATGGCTTCGAGAAGGCCGTACGCAAAGAGCAAGGGGCACTGGACGCCGCCGTAGAACAACAGACCGTGAAGATCGCCGCCTTGGCCTTAAGGGACCGTTTCTCCACTACCAGGTCCATTGCAAATGAATGGTTTGCAGAACACGGAAGACCTATTGGCATGCGAAGTGTTTACCGAATTTTGGCTTGTTTTCATACCGGCCACACTGGGTCCTCCCTTTAACTCGAGAACACCGACGTAATCGCCTTGAGTGGTGCAGACAACGGTTACTCTGGGATCAGGAATGGAACAGTATTGTCTTTAGTGACGAGTCTCGATTTTGTTTAGGCATGCACGATGGTCGTGCCAGGGTTAGAAGGCGACGTGGTGAAAGGAGGAATCCACAGTTTTTTGTTGAAAGACATGTTCATCACACTGTTGGAGTTATGGTTTGGGGTGCTATAGCTTATGGTTCCAGGTCACCTTTAATCTTCATCAGAGGTAACATCAACGCGCAGCGTTATATCCACGAAGTTCTAGAACCCCATCTTTTACCCTATCTTGACACCCTGGCAGATCCAACTTTCCAACAAGATAATGCCCGACCACATGTTGCAAGAGTCACAATAGACTTCTGTCAACATAATGATGGCCACCAAGATCTCCCGACTGATCCCCAATTGAGCACGTGTGGGCATATGATGGGTAGGAGATTGCTCAATTTGCAACGTCCTCCTCAGACTCTAGAAGCACTTCGAGAGGAGTTGGTGGTTGCCTGGAATGAGATACCACAGGAGGTACGTTGACCACCTGATCAGAAGCATGCCTAGGCGCGTTGGAGAATGCGTAGCATATCAGGGTGCATCCACACATTATTAAAGGTCGAAGGGCTTTAAAGCAGAGCAATCATTTTGAAATTTTTATCATTTACTTATTATGCTTCATTAAGTACTTATACAAAACTTTATTAAAATAAAACCATTTAAACTGGGTGTTCGGATTTATATGTCACTTAGTATAAATAATTACTTTACGATGATTTGTCACGCGTTTTTTGTATTCTATACGAATTCGAGACAACTTTTACACCTCAGACATCGGATGAACTTCAGTCTCGCCTAGACCCTGGGACATAAATGTCAAAATAGATCACTTGATCGATATCTCGTAGTGCTTTAAAAAAGAATCGACTCCAATACACGATACTACCGTATCGCGGATCCTCCTGA